TAATCAACAGCAAAGTCAGGGGTCAAGCAAGTTCCCCCTGATACTGAAAGCCATTTTCTCCTAATATTGTCCTAACTCCTCAAGAAATAAAGAGGTCGAAGCTAACTTTCTCCCAAATGACAATGATTCATATACTATTTAGAATATAGAATATGGAATTCTGAAAAAGAATAAATCATTTAGAGTAGTTGGAAAACTTGAGTAGTGTCAAAAACAGGAAAACTTCAAGTTAAATATTTATAAAAATTAAGAATCAAAAGCTAAGTGCCTCCCATGTATCTAAAATTAAGGAAATATTGAAGTATCATTTTTCTGTTGCCTTTTATCTTTGATTTCAAACTGTTTCCCACAAAAGAAAATAATATTTCCTTAAAACTGACAAGTTAAAAATTCTTAATTATTTAACTATACATTAGCTCAGTGTAGGTGGCAGGACTGGTCCAATTAGGAGTTAGCAGCCCATGTTTGCTCTGCCTGATGACCTGACCCTATGTCCTCATAAGTGCTCACTTTCATTGCATCTCTGAGGGCAGTCTCTATAGGAAATGGATAATTTAATAGATATAAAAAAGCAGGAAATAGTAGGTACAAAATATTATCAAAAGTAAAGTAACATCTCATTCCGCTGACATCTAAAAAGAAATATATTTCAATTGTGATGAAAATTTGTCATTTAGGAAACGTCTCAATAGAAAACATTTTTCACACATTTGTTCACCCTTTGTAATTCTTCCTCTGCAAAATGTCTGTGCATTTCTTTTGCCCACTTCTTGACTGGATCTTTAATTTTAAGTGGTTTAGTTTCTTTGAGTTCTTTGATTATTCTACATAATAGTCCTCTGAGAAACAGCTGGCAAAAAAAATTTTCCCACTCTGTAGGTAATCTCTTCACTTTTCTGATTGATCCTGCTGCTGTACAGAAAATTTTTAGTCTGATATAATTCCATCTGTTGATTCTTATTGCTGTTTCTTGTGCAAGTGAAGTTCTGTTTAGAAAATCCTTTCCTACACTTAATGCTTTCAGGCATTTTGCCTATTTTATCTTTCTTAATGCTTCTGTTTTAATGTTTATACCTTCAACCCTTTCTGACTTTAATTTACTATATAAAGTAAAAAATTAAAATTAAATAAGCCGGGGGCTGGGGATTTAGCTCAGCGGCATAAGCTCCTGCCTTGCAAGCAGGCAGTCATGAGTTCAATCCCCGGTACCGATAAAAAAGGAAAAAGACAAAAAAAAAAATTTAAATAAGCCAAAAAAAGACAAAAGAAAACAATAAGCTAACTAAAGAAAATTTTATAAGAGTAGAAGAATTCTTTGATGCAGTACAATAAAGAAGAAATGCCAAAGGAAAAATGTCAGGGACTTGTATAAGAGTGTTAGGAAAAATAAAGACCCAGAAACGTGTGAAATACAGAAGATAAAACAGGAAGAGAGAAGAATCAGGCCTTTGTCCATTACATTCTAAATAAGGGTAAAAAATAAGAAGGTAGCCAGCTTTTTCAGAAACAAATGTTTGTACCCAGAAAAACAAATCCATATTGTTAAAGCCTTTCACTTAGCCAAAAAAAATTCTATATATATCATTACATGATAAGGTATGTGTGTTACAGCCAAGTACAGAATTCTTTTTAGGAAGAGCACTGTTTATGCTGAGGAAAATACCTTAAGGAGCAATTTAAGGTGAATAATGATGTCCTTAGGGCACAAAGCAGCAGCAGCCAAGTTTGACGGTGGGAAGGTAGCAACTATCTACAGCATTAAAATATTCAAATGAACAAGAATTTATGGGTCTGAAGGGTAAGAAGGAAGAAGAAAAGCAGTGGAGGAGCAATGAGATGAAGGCACTAAAGGGTTTTGAATACTTCTAACATACAAATCAAAGCTGTTTAGGATATATTATTACAGCATAGAAGCACATCTTTCCATCTTCCCATGCTTCTATAGGGTTTTTCAGATTCACATGTATGAGGGCAAGAATAGAGGGAAGAAGAGAATAGGAGGCATGAGAGAGGGTCAGGGTCAAGGGGGAAAGGTCAACTCCTAGTGGTCTAGGTGAACCCAGTGGACAAATAAGAATAGAAAAGCAAGAGCTTGGCATCAGAGGCAACCCTGAGAATATGAGTTCCCAGAAAACTCACAGAAATCTTGAGGTGGACATTACATTTGGCAGGACACGGATTACAGGTACAAACTAATTATTTCTAGAATTTAAGGCCAGGAGATACCAGCAGACAAGTGGCGTTTGATTGTAAGTAAGTGGATTGTGAGTAATCAAAAATGAAGGTCAGGAAAAAAGGGAATAAAAGCAACCAAGCAATGGTCACTTAGAGCTCTTATTGGGTTATTAAGAGTAAGTCACGCCAAACTAACTTCATTTCCTATATAACTAAAGTTACTAGACTGATAAATCCATAATGCCACAGACAATATATCTTCATTTCAAAAATGCCTTTGGGAAAGTGGAAGAGGAAATGAAGAAAAGTTTATATAGTAGCCCAATGAAGCGAGCTAAAAGCTCATTTCAATAACTTTACTCAAAGTCTGTTAATATTTGATTGGTGTTTATTGGAAAGGAAGATATGACACTATTATCAATGTCATTAAACGTTTTTATGAATAACTTGTTCAAAGAATTTTGAAAATGACACAAAGCTAGGAGGAGAAGACAAAATCAGGAGCCAAAAAGATTGTGATGGACTATAACATAAAGTCAGAATTAACAAAATAAAATTCAATGAATATAAATGTAACATCTACCTTTACATATAAAAAGATGAAACTAGTATCACACAAAAAAGACCTGGATGAAGAGCAGTTTGAGTTTACATACTACGTGATTCTGACTTCTCTCAAAATCAGTGTGAACCAAAATACTAATAAGTAATATACTGTTAGGCATCAAACCAGTTATCTGAAAATATTTTGGCATGTTCACATCAGACAATCTGGCTATATTTCAAGATGTTTTGATTTCCATATTTTATAATTTACCTACAATATACAATATGCATAAAAAATATTTCCTGAAGTAATTTACAGGAATTCTACTGCTTGTAATGGCAAATTAATAATTCAGTTCAATCTTTCTGCTGTGGAAAATGAATAAAGTTTGATGAATACTTCATTTTAAAAACGTTAGACCTAAAAACATAGCGAAGAATTTCCTGAGATGAATATAGGAGGCCATGCTCAGCACACAACTCTATCATAGTTTACCACAAATGGCTTCCTTTTCCTTTCTCTCTGATGTGACATCCCTTCCTTTTCACAGATGAAACATCATTGTTTTACAATACATATTTATAAGTAATTTAAATACTCTAGACCAAATTCAGGTACTGAAAAGTCACCAGAAATGTGAGAGAAGATGATTGGATTTTAAATGTCTTCTGACATACATAACTTTTTTAAGTTTGTATAACTTTTTTATAGCCTGTTGTAAGCCCATGAACTTATCTAAACACTGGTTAAAGCTATTTGTAGTTAAACTGTTTTAACTCTTGGTGTGCAAAGTTCCACAAGTATTTTTTCCCCATTCCTGTAAACAAGATTCTTAAATTCATGATACTGCTATTGTGAGCACTGAATTAATGGAGATAATCCAACAGTTTCTAGAACATTATAAAAACTATAATTATTAGCAAGAACTTTTATTACAAAACAGTACTTTTTGTTTGGTTTACCACATCCACTTGCTTAAGTGATGTTGTATACATGACTTAGCTACCGCTGTATCTAGTACTTTCAGGCTCTCAAAATGTTAGTGAAAGTAGTTGTTTTCTTTATATACATTTATCTCCTAATTGACTATGAACATGGAAGCTTTCACTTGCAAAAGTCCTTTATTCCACTCTATCTCAACAACCTAGAGTCTGAAATATAGAAAATATTGGGTCATCAGAACTAGGAATCACCTGCACTCAGTCTTTCATATTCATTTCTTATTTATAGCATTCATGAGTATCTGTGCTCAAATACAAGAAAACTGAGTCTAAGAAATGTTCAGATATTTGTTCCTATTCCACAAATTAATAACCAAGTAATAAGAACAAATAGAATTGCTTTTTACAATAACAAAATTACCAAAGAAAATAAACATCAAAGAACAAAGAGATCATTCTAAATATCAAAATAAATATCAAAACAAGATGTAAAGGAAGTTTAGCTTAACAATTAGATAAAATGATTTTGACAAGAAGGGCAATCTAATAGAGCTACTATTTCTTAATTTAGGAACCAGGTGCTTTTATGAAAACAGATGTGTTTATGGATGCAAGTGTAAAGGACCTCTTTAAAGCAGGAACTTCAGCAGAGTTCCAAGAGATTCTTTGTAACTTTTCTTCTGGATACTATGACTTGGTCAAACTAAATAAATTAAGAAATTTTTTAAAAAGCTTTACTAAAGGTTTCTTTCTGTTTAAACAGATTTGTCTGGCAAAATAAAGCAAGCAAAATATCTTGCTGGGTTGCTTTCCTTCTAGTTAAAATGTATTTTTACTCATTAAATCTATGTATATGTTTTATAATAGCTTACTACAGACTTCACAAACAACTGGTAAAGGTGCACTAATTCTCATTGATCAAGAAGAATTTTCAAAGTGGTGTTCATTTACAAACTAGAATAAACTTCCAAATATCTTAAGTTTTTAAGATCTTTCCTTTCAATCCATTTATATGAACATATTTGTCATATATTTTCTATATATCATTTACTTATATTTATATAGTACATAATAAATTCAAATCAAAAGTCTAGCACTTTCTCTTTGTCAACAAGTTATCTTCTGTTCGTCAATTTCCCACTGACTTTAATACTGCTTCTGGCTTGTCAATCTTTTGAAATATACTTTAATCCTCACAACCCAATCCGGTCAAGCTTCTGATCAGTGACATAAGAAATGATGGTAAGACAGGAATGCACCAGAATTGATGCCAGCTTTGAGGAATGGAATTAGAAGTGAAAACAATACCAAAACAAACTAAGCCATCTTTTACTTACAGATGACACATGCTGCAGCAGACACAAGACATCAATCATGTCCGCGAGAATAAGGAGTCTGGTAACAGCAGCCAACAAGTCCCGGGCAGCTTGAACTACAGCCTCCCTTTTTGGGAGATAACAGGGGTCATCTGTAAATCTCTCAGCTGATATCTTCAGAGCTTCACCTGAAAAACACAGACCCCAGGTTATATGTTAAGTTTAAACTTAACCAATTTACCAGCCAACCTAAGTCTAAGTATATTCCGTGACAAGAATAATATTAAAATAATGTCAGTTGATGCTTGCACATTGTTTCTTGATAAATAGTTCAGGTTCAGTTTGACATTTGTTTTTGATAAATGCTCTGGGCTTTAAGAAGTATGATATCATCTTCCTGTAAGAAAATTGTGCTCAATTGACTAGCAACATCCAGTAAAAACTGCTATCAACATCTGTTTTCTGAATCTCAATTACTGTGAAAGTTTCATTATCAAGACTTCACTCACAAACACTCCAGTTTAAAAAAATAGGACAGATCTTCACTGTTACTTTCTAACTTAATGAATGTTAGAAAAGATCTAGCCTTTAAAATAATGGCAGTTCTCTGATAACAGTATAAAATGAGCAGATTTATTCTACACCAATATAATGAATAAACTGTATCCTGAGTTTAGTCACAGAAATAATTTGTATTACATAACTGTCAGATAAATACCATGTTTACTATTTTAAAGTAATTTTATTTAAAATATTATTACAAAAGTAATGTATCCTCATTTATTCTTAAAAGTTCCTAATTCAAAAGGGCCTAAAAAATTAAAAGTATTGCCAGAGGTTTAGCTCAGTGGCACAAGCATTTGCTTAGCAAGAACAAGGTCATGAGTTTAATCCCTGGTAGCCAAAAAAAAAAAAAAAAAAGGATTTTGGGGCCAGGGATTTAGCTCAGTGGCCAAAGCACCTGCTTGGTAAGTATAAGGTCATAAGCTTGATCCCCAGTGCCCAATAATAATAATAATTAAAAGTATCTTATTTGGTACCAGGAATCAAACACATGACCTTATACTTGCCAGGTAGGCACTGTGCTACTGAGATATATCCCCAGCTAAAAGTATCTTTTTAACTCCATTAAATAACATAATCATAATTACCACATATATTGCTTTAAGTTTTTGAATTTAAAATCATTTATCATAAAAGTAGTATGTACCCATTCCTTTTTAATAATACATCATAGAATATAAAGTAAACATTTTAAAATTCTAATCATAAGATACCAACTATTTATCTCATATATCTGGAATTTTTTCTATCGATGCATGGTAGGTATATACATATGTATGCATATGTAGGTATATACATACACATATTTTATATATAAATGTATATATATACTTCTGTTTAATATAGTTCTTTAAACATTTGCTAGAGAAATAAGACAAGAGAGAAAAATAAAAGGGATATTGATAGAGAAGAAAAAAGTTAAATTATCATTATTTGGTGATCAACTTATACACTACATTAAAGGCCCCAAAAACTCCATCAAAAGGCTCCTAGAACCAATGTTCAAAGTATCAGTGTAGCGGATTCAAAGTCAGTACTCAAAAATCAATAGCATTTCTGTACACCAATAACAAGATTACTGAGAGTTAAAGCTTTGCACTTCCAAATATATAATGAGAATACATCTTGAAGCAAAAATTTAAAACATTAGAAAAACTTTAAATTCTATATTTAAGTAAAGTTCAATGATATACTTCTATTTAAATCGCATAACTCCTAACAAAACATATTACTATCAGTTTTCATATAAAAATGTTGTATGACACATGTATAAATTGCACACCTAAATAAATTTGAATATTAAAGATACTTTTAAAATAGAGCTAAATAACTCTCCAAAATTTCAAAGACAGAGGAATTGTTATTTTAATCACCTAAGAAGGTATCAAGTAATATCACATCATATTTAAACTTGACAATAATTTTAAGATAGTAAGTTAGCTCCTTGTTCCATGGACCTAGGAGACAGCAGATCATCAGCCCCACCCTCCTCCTTGCCCCACAGATCTAGAATTTGGCAGATTGTCGACTTTACCTCTCTTCTTTCTCCATGGATCAAAGAGCCAGCAGATTCATTGGTGACTCTACCCCCCTCCCAAAGACCACAGCAGCCCATGGACAATTCGTGACCCCTACCACCACCTGCAGAACCTTGGTGGGAGCCTCAGTAGGCTTGCAACACTGTGGTGAGTTTCCTTCTCAAATAGAGGACCTCATAGGGTAAACAAGAACAGCAGTGAATTCCTCGCCAGCTGTAGGACCTGAGCAACTCTGGCAAGATTGTGGGTGAGTCCTTCTTCCATACAGAGAACACCAAGTTGGTTGAGGAGAGTGCTGACAAGGCCTCCCCCAACCTGAAGTAAGCAAAAGGGTCTATGAGACACCCAGTGACACAGTAGGGTCCCAGCTGAGGTTCACACTATAGCCACATAGATCTGGTAGCCTGGAGCAGCCAGGAACTAAGGGTTGACTCACACCAATATTCCTAGGTTAGTTAGCCTACAAAGAATATAGGACTCACCCAACAGGCCCTGCAGGAGGAAATCAGATGACTTTATTATGGGACCAAGCAATTGGACAAACATCAACCACACAGTAGGATCCAAAGACACACATGATGGACAGTTGAGACTAGGGGAATTGAAAAGAACAAAATATTAACCCAAGAAGTGAAAATGACAGAATGAAAAAGCAAATGTACTCTTAAATGTTCAGTCCATCAGGAACAAGTGCAGGAGACATCAAAATAGAGGAAATACACTTGAAATTTCTGAAAAGACAGCAAGTGAAATAAAGAAACAAATCCATGAGGAAATAGAGAAAATCAGATTAGAAATAATCTCTCTTATAAAGTAAGAAGTAACCTTAATAAAGGAGTTGCTTAACATAGCTAGAAAAGATATAGATAACAAAGTACAGGAGCATGGGAAGATAATGGAAACCTTGAATGAACAATACAGAAAAGAAGTAGAATGCATAAAACAAGTTCAAAGATATATATCCAGGAAATAAAAATACTATTGAAAGCTGGTGAAACCATTTGAATGAAATTGAGGATAGAATTTTGGGTTGTGAAGCTGTCTTCAAAATCATAGCTAGTGATCATGAAAGGAAAGAACTTTTAAAAATAGCAAAACAGCATGAAATGACAATTCAATAGCTTCAAGACAATGCAAAGAGTGGGTTCCGGTAAAGACGGTGGCTAGATAAGAGTAGATTACAGAAGCTCCCTGAGATAATCAACTTAGATGCCAAAATAACATAGCATGGGGAGCCCTGGACAGAGGGAGATGGATCCTCTCAACCCAGGAAGAAACTAAGGTGAGAAGAACCAACCAAACATGCAGTTCTGACGCTACTATTGGAACAGCTACAGGTTTGGAGCTCCTGCTGCAGTGCCCGAACTCACATGGCTGCGACTTACTGAGCTGTCTGAATTCCCACTGGTTTGACTCACTGGAACCGCAGGTGCACAGAGGTCGGGGGTCAGCAGGCCCAACCCAGAGCCAAGTTGGCAGGGGACCTGCATTGACATGCAATGAGTGCCAAGAATAAAATCCTTCCACAGAAAAGGGTGTCGTTCCAAAGGGACAACATCTTGGAACCTGGCAGGACTGGCAAGAACAAGGAACAGCAGAAGCTTCAGTCAGTTGTTCCCTTCCCAGATGAGACTGGTGGGGTGTGCTTGGCCTGGGTCACATCCTGCCTGAGACCCATTAAGTTGTCCCAAACCAATTCCCTATGCACAGTACACACTAACACAGTGAAGGCCTCCACAGGTTGACTCAGAGGGGAGGACCAGCATTTGCTGCCCCTGTTTGCATCACAATAGCACACTAGAGGGGATCACCTAACCAACACACTCCAGAAGAACCATAGCCAACAAAGAAAGAGACTGGGGCTTCCTCTACATGATTGTATGGAAGAAACAAAAATATGAGGAGAGAAAGCAAGAAGAAAAAGTCCCCAGCCCCCAACCCTGAGAACATTGATCCAGGAAAGGTAAATACAAAGGAGATTGAGGACAGCAAACATGCAATATCAGACACACCACCAGTGGACATAAAGAGATATATGCGGGACCTCATAGAGGAGTTCAAAAGTGAAATATTTAACCAAGTAAAGCAAGATATAAATAGATTAATAAAAGAAATGCTAAGCACCTCTCAAGAAGACACAGATGGAAGAATGGAGGAACACAAAAAAGGAGAGAATTATTTGATGAAGAATATAAAGAAAACATAGAATACATGAAGCAAGTTCAAAGAGATTACCAGGAAATTAAAAACTCCATTGAAAGCTGGAAAAACTGCTTGAAAGAAACTAAGGATAGATTATCCAAATTGGAGGACAGGTTTGGAACATGGGATTATGAAAAAAATTTTTCTTAAAAATAACAGGAAACAAGCAGTAACAATGCAAAGGCTAGAAGATGACAAGAGGCTCTATAACTTAAGAATAAAGACTGTGAATGAAGAAGCAGGGGTACAAACAAAGGAACTACAAAGGTTATTCACAGAAATAATTAAGGAAAACTTCCCAAACATAGGAAAAGAAAATGATATTCAGATGTATGAAACATACAGAACTCCAGCTACCTACAACCAAAATAGAACTATACCCAGGCATATAATAATCAAGATCCCAGAAATTCAATATAAGAACAGAACATTAAAAAGCTGTCAGAGACAAGAAACAGATTACTTATAAAGGAAAACCCATCAAAATCACAGGAGACTTCTCGATGCAGACCATCAGATCAAGAAGAGCTTGGAGTGAAGTATTCTAAGCCTCAAAAGAAAATAACCTCGAGCCCATATTGATGTACCCTGAAAAACTGTCTCTAGAAATTAGTGGAAAAACAAGATGCTTCAAGGTAAAGAGGAACTGGGAGAATTTGCAACCACCAATCCAACTCTACAGAGAATACTGAAGAACATTCTAGAGAGAGAGAAAAGTACCGGGATTCCAGGAACAGTGGCAGAGAGGCCTCAATGAATGGAGCAGAAGGCAAAATGAAGAAGACAAACAGGCAACTAATGGCAGAAAAGGAGCACAACAGAAATGATGCAGAGAAGGTTGGCTATAATCTCTAATATAGATGGCCTTGATACACTAAATTTTA